GGTTATGCCACCCATTCAATACCTACTCACGTCTTCCACTTTGCTTTCAATTATTAGGGGCTGCCTTTCTCAAAATTAAGTTGTGTTGCACAATGACATCACACGCTGTTCCAAAGTGGAATCTACACAACAATCCCTTCAAAGCACGTTGGCTTCATGCTCGTCCCCTTTCCTAGGTCCCTCTGCTGAAAACCAATTGTTCTGTCCATAAGGCTGTGGGACACAGGACAGAAAGCTTTGTGGTGTGCACAACTACTTATTAGACTCACTAATTTTGTGGGTCATCCATTAACACAGGCCCACAACAGACGCGGCCTCAGCGGGAGGAGACCAAGTTGGGGCTGGGTCGTGGGTAGGCGGCGCCGAGCTGGCTCTCAGCAGCTGTGCAGACAGGCGTCCCTTGGTCTGGGCAGGCGGTGCTTCCCCCACAGCCTGGGGGCAGGAGGGGGCTGCCTCGACAGGAGCATCCTAACACAGGGGACAAAGCCACAGCCACCATGTGGCCTCAGAAGCCACCCGGCATCCCTTCTGCAGCCTTCTGCCTGTCAGGGGTCAGCGATCCCATCCAGGTTCATGGGGACGAGAGGTTTTCAATTTCAATAGAGCAGGGCAAGATTCTGGAAGAGTCTCTGGGCTGGGAAGAATGCAAAGCCACTTTTGGATACAAAGTGCCATCACATTTTAGTTAGGTTTGAGTCTATCTTTCCATTGTAAACTCTTAAAGACAGGAGAAGATGGGAAGAGCTATGTAGTAGCATTCCACGGCACAGTGGACATGGTGGGGTGGGGAGAGGAGGGGGGGTGGCTTGGAAAGCTGGAGGAGGGGTGGTGCTGTGCTGAGGAGGGGCAGGCCCCGGAGAGAGAATGAGCAAAAGGGGCAGAGCAGAGTGTGGGCTGGGCTGTAAGGCCCACCGATAAGGGCCCTCTGTTCTCCTTCTACTGTGGGGGAGGAGGATTCTGATTCCTGTTCCCATGAGTTGAGATTTTTCTCATTGACTTGTAAACACTTCCATATAAGGGATAGCTATTATTATGGGATTGTATTCAAAGACAGCTCAAGCCTCTGTGTGGGGGCAGCCTGCTGGATAATGCACACAGGCCCCTCTGCCCTGTGCACACAGACACAGGTCTTTCTAGGGAGGAGGTGAGGGGTGGGTGGGATGAGTGCTGTGCGCCAGGGCCCCCCAGAGGCTGATGGGCACATCCCGAGCCGTGTAGCAGGCCACGAAGACAGCTTTATGCCACTCAATGGCTGGCTTAGCTCAGGCTGTCTCCAGTATGTTTGGCCATTCTCTCAGCTACTAAAAACCTAAGTCAAGATTAAAATTTTGCAAATATCCACTACATGAACTGCTAATGCAATATTCAAGTATTATTCATAATGCAGAATGTTTCTCTGATGGAGAGCAACTCAGTTATGTAGGACTCCCTCAGAAGTCTGCAGTAGCTCGCTTAGTTCTTCCAAGATAGATAATTGTTCAAAACAGTCCAAGGAAACAGTCTGTTCTAATATCTATGGATGGGTGTGCGGGCGTGTGCACACGTGTGCCTCTATACATGAGTGAGCTCATCTTTTTAACTGTTCCTTTTTCAGAGTCTTTTATGAGAGCAGTCAGAAATATCATGAGTAATAGACTTTTTAGGTAAACATTTGAATGACTTCTTGGCCTTGAAATCTAAAATTTCTTATCAAAGAATAAAGTTAATACAGTTGACACTGGAACAACATGGCTTGAACTGCTTGGGTCCACTTAGTTGTGGGTTTTTTCAATGGACAGTATAGTACTATAGATGTATTTTCTCTCATGACTTTTTTTTTAAAAGATTTATTTATTTATTCATGATAGACACAGATTGAGAGAGAGAGGCAGAGACAGAGGCAGAGGCAGAAGCAGGCTCTTTGCAGGGAGCCCAACGTGGGACTCGATTCTGGATCCTGGGCTCATGACCTGAGCCGAAGGCAGGCACCCAACTGCTGAGCCACCCAGGTGTCCCTCTCCATTCCATTAAGATTTTCTTTTTTTTTTTTAATTTTTATTTATTTATGATAGTCACACACACAGAGAGAGAGAGAGAGAGAGGCAGAGACACAGGCAGAGGGAGAAGCAGGCTCCATGCACTGGGAGCCCGATGTGGGATTTGATCCCGGGTCTCCAGGATCGCACCCTGGGCCAAAGGCAGGCGCCAAACTGCTGCGCCACCCAGGGATCCCCCATTAAGATTTTCTTAATGGAATTTTCTTTTCTTTGGTTTAAGACTCCAGTATATAACACATACAACATGCAAAATATGTATTAATCGACCATATCACTGGTAAGGCATCTGGTCAACAGTAGGCTACTAGTAGTTGAGGTTTCAGGGAGTCAAAAGTTATACACAAATTTCTAACTATAGTGGATCCGTGCCCTGAACCCCTAAGTTGTCCAAGGGGCCAACTGTATATTCTTTTATTTCGCATTTCAGAATCTCATGCTGTCTGATTTGATTTAGTCATGTTCTGTTCCAGAAAGTTTCTGCCCTGTGATTCCAACTATTAAAGTGACATCTTCAAGAAATATTTCCCTAAGAAAGCCTTGTCTGGTCTCCTTGATCCTCTCCTGTCTCTGTTTCATTGTAGTAACAGCCCACGATAAAATGGGTCTACAGAACAGGTGCCACAGGAGCCACATTGTATGGGGAGGCCACAAATACTGGTAGTAAAAGAAGAGAAAGGTCAGGGTGCCTGGGTGGCTCAGGTCATGATCCTGGGGTCCTGGGATGGAGTCCTGCCTGGGGCTCCTTGCTCAGTGGGGAGTCTGCTTCTCCCTCTCCCTCTGCCCCTCCCCCAGCTCCTGTCCTCTCTCTCTCTCTCTCATAAATAAATAAAATCTTAAAAAAAAAAAAGAAAAAAGAAGAGGAGAAAAGTCAGAGGGAAAACATTTAGATAGTGTCCTTTCTCAGCATACAAATAATTTAGACTACAAAGAAGTTATGAAAAGATTCCCCTAAGGGTGACAAAGTTATTTAGGGCTTAAAAACCCTAAGTGGACACAGCAGAGATGCAGCCATGGTCGCCCTCACACCTTTAACACATAAGATTAACAACTGGCCCCCCAAAGCCACGCTCGAGGCTAATATGGCAAAACTGGGAGCCCCTTGCTGGTCTTCCCTCCAGCTGAGGGTCGGGAGGGTCTGAAATAAGATAGGACGCAGCAGCCCTGAGCTCCCCGCTGCCCCAGGCTCAGTGAGCTCAAGCTAAGCCACAAATGACATCTCTTTTAATCACCCCGATGCTGTTAGAGGATTGCTTTCCCATTTTACAGATGAGGTAACAGAAGCTTACAAGAGCCAGTTAGCTTATCAAGTTTACACAGGTAACAAGTGGGAGAACCCCATGTACACTGGATGACCCACAGGTGGGGCATATGCTCCTGGCCACTGTACCCCTTCTGCTCTGAGCACCCCGAGCCTCCTGGCCAAGGTCGGACCTGTATGTTTGGAAGACACCCAGTAAATGTGAGCTTTGAACCCAAGGAGCAAAAGTCCTCCCTTGGCCAGCTTGGACCCTGCAAGCTCCTGGAGTTTCTTTCCTTGAGCACACACAGATATTGGGGAGCACTTTTTAAGACTTTGCCCCTGACGTTTGGCACACTCCACTGTCCCACAGCTGAGCACCCCTGACAAACTCCCTTGACAGATGCTGCTCACCCAGGTGGAGCTGCTCTGTGAATTCTGGCTTCTCCTGCGCTTCTTGTTACCTCAACCCCCTGCCCCCCAGGCCGCCCTTTCTGGGAGCAGCATAGGGCCCTACTACCTGGCCCTCTCGGCCGGGTGCTGTCTATACTCCTCACCTTTACTGTCCCACCTGGTTTGTTGAAGGTCCTGGGTCTGGTAGGACCATATTACTCTTCCCAGCTATCTGTTCTGTTCCCAGTATGTCCCAGACATTTGCCCTGGGACTGCCAGGCCCCGGCTTTTTAAAATGTATGTATGTATGTATGTATTTATTTATATTTATTTATTAAAAGATTTTATGTATTTATTCATAAGAGACACACAGAGAGAGAGGCAGAGACACAGGCAGAGGGAGAAGCAGGGTCCCTGCGGGGAGCCCGATGCAGGACTCCATCCCAGGACCCCGGGATCACCCCCTGAGTTGAAGGCAGACCCTCAACCACTGAGCCACCCAGACGTCCCAAGGCCTCCACTTTTAGGAGGAGGATACTTTCCTCCTCTATGCCAGGCTTTCCTCCATGCCAAGCTTGACCATGTGACTCGTTTGGGCCAAAAGGATGTAAGTGGAAGGGACGCCTGGGTGGCTCAGTGGTTGACCGTGCAGGGCACACCTGTCCTCGGCCCTGCCCGAGGCAGTTCAGCTACGGGAGGAAGGCCCAGGGGACACGGGAAGCCTCGCAAAAGGCGGGGTGAGGTTGACTGCGTGAGTCCGGGGCGGGAGCTAGACTGAAACAGAAGCCTCCTCGGAGAAGCTGGAGCGGGGCCAAGGGCCGGGATTGGGGGCGGGTCCTCCTACGGGGCGTGTCCTCGGGTGCCGGGGCGTGTCCTCCTACAGGGGGCGTGTCCTACAGGGGGCGTGTCCGCCTACGGGGCGTGTCTTCGGGTGCCGGGGGGCGAGTCCTACAGGGGGCGTGTCCGCCTACGGGGCGTGTCCACATACGGGGGCGTGTCCTACAGGGGCGGGTCTTCGGGTGCCGGGGGGGCGAGTCCTACAGGGGGCGTGTCCTACAGGGGGCGTGTCCTACAGGGGGCGTGTCCGCCTACGGGGCGGGTCTTCGGGTGCCGGGGGGCGAGTCCTACAGGGGGCGTGTCCGCCTACGGGGCGTGTCCACATACGGGGGCGTGTCCTACAGGGGCGGGTCTTCGGGTGCCGGGGGGGCGAGTCCTACAGGGGGCGTGTCCTCCTACAGGGGGCGTGTCCGCCTACGGGGCGTGTCTTCGGGTGCCGGGGGGCGAGTCCTACAGGGGGCGTGTCCTCCTACGGGGGCCTGTCCCGGGTGCCGGGGGCGGTCGGGGCCAGAGGCCGGGGCGGAAACGCGGCGGTCGGGGCTGCTGGGCGGTGCAGACTGTGAGGTCGCGGCGGGCGTCGCGGTGCGGCACCGGCGGGGACGCGTGAGCACCTGGGGGGCCCGGGGGAGGCGGCGGCCCTGGCCAGGGGTCCCGAGTGGAGGCTCGGGGCGGCGGCCTGGGGGCGGGGCCGGGGCCCACTGAGGCCCGCGGGCTGGGGGAGGGGCCGGGCCCACTCGGGACCGCGGGCTGGCGTGGGGGCGGCCCTCGGACGCAGGCGGGTCAGAGCCGGCTTCAGGAATTCTGTCTGTTTTCAGGGACCGCAGGGCCTGGCGCCGGACACTGTGCCTCGCGTCCTTTCGGAGCTGAGCCCCTTGCCGGAGTGTGCCCGGAGTGTGCGCGGAGTGGCCGTGGGGCGGGGGCGCCATGAGGCCCGCAGCCCCGCACCGCCTGCTCCTGAGCTCCCTCTGCCTGGCGCTGTGCTGCCTGGGCGGGGCGCGCGGGTCCCGGAGGAGGTGAGCCCGGGACCCTGGGAGGGGCGGGGCGGGGCGGGGCGGGGCGGGTGCCCTGACATTTGCGTGAGGTTCCAGGGCACCGTCGGGGATAGGGTGCTGCTTCCTCTTTTAAAAGTCTCTTAGCGCTGGCTCTTCATCCCTCTGCCTTCCCCTTCCTCCTCTATTCCGTGTTGCAGCTGATGGGGGGGGGGAGTAAACAGGCCCTGTTGTCGGGGATCCTCTGCGCACTTCTGTAAAGGAACCCACCATTTTGAGCCCCAGATATTAATGTTTCCTTCTATTTATCTTGGGCAATGATTTCATATTTGATACAGGCCTTCATACTTACATAGTAGGTGTGGGAAAAGGTGAGTTTTACTTTTTAATTAAGGGTCATTGCTGTGTTATCATCTATCTGAAAAGGCGACATTATATTGCAGCATTCCCGGAAAGTTTATTTTCTGAAAAAGAGCTACGTTAATGAATGGATGAGCTCTTGCCATCAGGTTAAGAGCGTAGCAGTCAGTAAATGTCAGATAAAGACCTTACGCTGTAGTATGTGGTCCCCACCCCGCATCCGCGCTCCTAATTCGTGCGCTGATGGAGCTGGACAACCGTGGTGACCGAGGCATGGTTTGGAGAAAACTCAGCTGATTCATACCCTCCGGGATGTGAGGGGTTAGCGGGTGTTTGTCCAAGCACTGGCTGGGTTGACAGCTTGGTGACTCTCCTCTCTTCCTCTGCCCAGTGGCCTTTCTCCTTACAGAATCTTCGCTTCCGCCCTGCGTCCTGGCGGGTGGGTGGGGGGCGCTTCCTGTGCACTCCCACCACTCTTGCCTGGATTGTGTGTGGACATTGTGGTGTAGACGTTCTGAATCTCGATCGATTCATCATAAGCAGGGTACTGGTGGTCCCCCTCCCTGGCCATAGCTTCATCATGTAGCCTCAGTTTCCACCTAAACAAGGGTTTGCGCACGCAGAAAAAAGCAACTTCTAACATTTGTCCCAGCTCCAATGCTCATGCTACAGCTTGTCCTTTCTTTGATGCCAAGCGCCATTTATAACTAAGGTTTTGTGACGTCTGAAGTGTGCTTCTATGCTTACTCAGCAGGACTCCCCTCTTGATAGAAGCTGGTGTGTGAGGACTTAGTCCTGTTTTACTTTTGAATCATTCTTTCTAAAATCTAATTTATCCTGGATTCAGTGTCTGAGTGATGTCCTTGTGTGGCTGCTGTAGGGTCTCTTCACCAGCTGTCTCCCTGCTTCCACCTGGTTGCTGGCTGGGCCTTGCAGACACCACTCCGCACCCCTCATCTGGAAGGCTTGGGCCGGGGGCGGTTTTGGAGCGTGGGGTCTTTCGGTGTGCAGGTCCTGCTCTGTTGCTCTGGACCGTGTTGGAGTGAGCACCATGGGATCTAGCAACTGCATCCGCACATGGAGGAGGGGAGGTGTAGTGCACTGAGCAGCTCATGCCTGTTCAGGTCTGGCTTTGTTGCCACGTGAACCACAAAAAATTTCAGGTTGCAGAGCCTTATGGATTTCACATGTGTGGTTAAGGGATGATGATGCTTTTGTTTCTACACTCGAGACCAGCCCTTGGAGACAGGCACTTCGGGGTTCCTTCCCCCTCTCCCTCCTGTCAGTGAGGACTTCCTGGGCGTTCTGGCCCAAAATTTCAGCTCCTGACCCATTGCTGACATGCCTGTCCTCTTGCTTACTTATGTTCTTTATCATGTGTCACAGTGGGGCACCATGTGTGTTTTCTTAGCTACTGTGGTAACCGTTTCCCTCACTGGCATGTGTGCTTCAAGAGGGTAGGGGTTGGGTCCCTTGCTCTGGGCAGCACCCCTACCCCACGATATGCCTGAAGACTGCGTTCCTTGCTCAGGGCAGTGCCCCCAGCCCACAGTAGTGCCTGGGAACTGAGTCCCTTGCTCAGGGCAGTGTCCCTGGCCCACGATAGTGCCTGGGGCCTGGGTCCCTCACTCAGGGCAGCACCCCTGGCCTAGTAGTGCCTAGGGATTGGGTCCCTCACTCGAGGCAGTGCCCATGTCCCGCGGCAGTGCCTGGCCCATAACAATCCCCCGATGTTTGTTGAATGCATGATGGTATAAATGGATGCATGAATTAATTTTTCTTTAACTTTGAAACAGCTCTTGAAATATAGGCTCCTTGTCTTTTAATAGTGACAACCATGAGTGGAAAAAACTAATTATGGTTCACCACTGGCCTGTAACAGTGTGCAAGGTGAGTTTTCCTGATGTGACCAGCCCCTTTCATCTGGGGGACCCTCTGGGGAGTGGGTCTCTGTGCGCAGGTTTCCTTGTGGGCTGATGTGTCATTTGCAGCAGTGTAATGCTTACACTCCAGGCTGGAGGCTGCGGTCTCTGGTTTGAGTTTCCTTTTTTTTTTTTTTTAAAGATTTTATTTATTTATTTATGAGAGACACAGAGAGAGGCAGAGACATAGGCAGAGGGAGAAGCAGGCACCATGCAGGGAGCCTGATGTGGGACTCGATCCTGGGACTCCAGGATCATACCCTGGCCAAAGGGAGGCGCTCAGCCACTGAGCTACCCAGGCGGCCCTGGTTTGAGTTTCCTAAACTTCTCAACTTCTTGTCCCTTTCTGCCTTAGAGCTGTAGCCGTGCTCTGGGTAGAGGAGTGTTGGAAGGAGGGAGCCACCAGCTTCAGTTTTGCTAGAGACCTAGCTCTCTACCCTGGTGGCCAGCATTGAGGGAGCCCTAGGTTCTGTGGGCAGGACTGTGTGTGGAGAGCTCCTGTCTGGGTGACACTGGAAGATTTGCCTTCAGGGCAGGGAACAAGGTCATTTGGTAGGTGAGGCATTTCTGTGACAAAATGTGGGGTATATTCCTATGTAGTGACTATAAATATGCGTGGAAGTGCATTCCTACCTTGATGCGTTAGAAATCAGATTTTAAAAAATCTGTTAGTGAAATGTCATTGTTAGGGAATTAATTTCAATCCAGGGTGGGCATGACGGGGGGTCCTGTCACCTGTCACTCTGGTCTGAGTGTTGTCCTGGGCAGTGGGGCTGTCTCTGGCTTCCTTCCCTGTGTGAGTGACTTAGGCATTACAGGTGCAGTGACCACCATGTCCCTCTCCATGACCCTCGGTTCTCCGCCCAGGCCCTCGGGCTCATGCTGGGCCAACAGGTGCCTGCTGATGATGAACGAAAGCTGCCCCTGGGCCCCCGTCCCCCACTTATGGGCTCGTCATAGGGCTGCCCGAAGACCCACGCTCTGGCCCTGGGTCCTGACCTTGCTCTTCACCAGCCGGGCACCTGTGGGAAATGGGCCACCTGCCTGGATTGTGATTTCCTGAGGGATGAAACCGGGGTGTCAGGACAGGGTAAGCGTAGCCCCCTACTCTGGTCCTGCTCTCCTGCCCTGTCAGCCTGGCAGTCTCCTAACCCAGAGCCTCCCTCATCTCCAGAGCAACTGGGGGCAGAAAGGTGATCCCTACATGGTGCCTCACCTGTTCCTCACCAGACAGCCACAGATACTTTTCACGTGCTTATTCCCTACGGGGGCTTTGGGCATGAGTTCTGTCTCACCTGGTCCAGTGGATGATCCATTTCTTGATAGTTGGTTCTTTTGGGAAAACTTCCAATTGAGCTACACAATTTGGAGGTCCCTGAAGGGTATGCGACTGAGCTTTTACCCCTGTTAGTTTATCTTTCTTGTCCTCTCCTCGCCTTCTCATTTCTGCTCCAGAACATTCACATTTTATATTCTGTAATGTTCACACTTATTATATCACTAACACATCTGGACCAACTCATTCCTCTGTACTATCATCCTCAAACACTTATTTTTGGTTATACCATCAGAAGATTAATGGGCAAATAGGAGTGTTTCCATCAGATTGGCTTAATTTGAGAACACGTTTTTAAAAAGCAAAATTCAATGTAATTAATTAATTATCTTACGTCATTGAGGATTGGGCCACTCCTTCCAGAAGGGACGCCCGCCCCCGTGTAGCTCCTCAGGGACGCGCACTGGAAGCCGCAATAAATGAACAATGAAATAAATGGTGATGTTCTCTGTTGTGTGTTTTCTTTGCAGGAGGTTGAGAACGACTGCAGGGACCCTCCAGATTACTGGACGATACATGGATTATGGCAAGTCCGGGCATGGGTCACATTTAAACAGGAAAAAAGGGCAGCCCGGGTGGCTCAGCGGTTTAGCACCACCTTGAGCCCAGGGCCTGATCCTGGGGACCCGCGGTTCTAGTTCCACATCAGGCTCCCTGCATGGAGCCTGCTTCTCCCTCTGCCTGTGTCTCTGCCTCTCTCTCTCTCTGTGTCTCTCATAAATAAATAAAATCTTAATAAACAAACAAACAGGAAAAAAAATAGCTCATCTGCAAGTAGCTTGGGGCTGGTCCTAAGAGTTACACTATTGACTTTTGTTAGATGTTTATTCAGTAGGCCGAATCCTTTTTTAGAATATCTTTGCCATTTGGACAGTGACCCTGATTCTGTAGCTGTTTACTTCTGTGTTGGGAGAACAGTGACAGTCTGGATTACAGGCACCTGTGGGGACCCTGGGTGCAGGCTGGACAGGCTAAGTGTACTACTCTCATTTTATCCTTCTTGTCAGGCCAATAAGGAGATGCGTACACATCAGTAAGCGAGCGTGCCTTGTGCATGCATCTCATATGTGTCTGCATTGTATGTGCATCACAGGTACCCAGATTCACCTTTTGGGGTCTGCCTGCAGTTTATGTAGTTTATTTACTCCTTCCTTTTTCGTGCATGCATTTGTAATGTTTAACTGTGCACGCGAGTCTGCCCGTCAAAGCGATGCCTCTTGTCCTGCTGCTTCCGTGGGAGGAGGGCCATTCTAGGCTTTGCCGGCATGTCTTATTGCTCAGGAGTGGGTCCTGCGGGCCTGGGGACCAGCTCCAGCCCCTCCTTCGTCACCTCAGTGACCCTAATGCTATAGCCTCCGGGAGCTTGGCTCTCCTGGGCTGTACAGATGCTCCTGATGCTTCACTTGTAGCTGGAAGGACAGTGCACAGTGCCGCTTTCATCCCGGTGGGGAGCAGCACTGATTTCCGGGTGCCGGGCCAGCCTGTTAACTCTGGAGACACGTCGGGGGTCTGGAAGGAGGTTTGGTGGCCTCGTGAACTCAGTCAGCTGCACCTGACATGTCTAGAATCAACATGTAGAAGTAGGGAGGGTATCCGTGCTTGGGACTTTAAGAAGTTGTACTGGCTAAGCTGGGGTCAGTGAGTGGAAGGCACTGGGTGAGCAAGTCTTCATGCTGTGTCACTAATCCTCATCCTCATGTAGTGAAGAGAGGTCACTCTGCTGGTGCCCTCGGGAGAGGGCCTGACTCCCGAGCTCCCCCTACCAGCCTGTGTAACTTGCTTCTTTGGTGAGAAAGTCATGGGTTGGCCTTACTCCTGGATGGTTTCTTTGGAAGGAGCTGGGCTGTGACCCTCCTACCCCGGGGGGGTTTTTGTTAAATGGCTCAGGTGGCAGTAGAATGTCTCTGCCTTTGCTCCCCACAGATCTTAATGGAAGTGTTTCCTCCTGTCATTTGGAGCTCATCTCAACCAAGACTAACTTCTATTGTTTTTCATTTTAATTTAAGGCCTGATAAAGCAGAAGAATGTAATGGATCATGGCACTTTCACTTAGAAGAGATTAAGGTAGGAAATGTTCATGATGTGGCTCCTGCAGATACTGCACTCAGTTCAGTCTTCCTAAGTGTATCCTCCATGTCATGTCTTAAAATGGGACTCACAGTCGCATTCACCAGAATTGAAACCCTGGTGCTTTTTTTGGATTTCTGGATCTCTAAAACAATCCACATGTTAAATCCAAGCCAACCTTTCTCCTCTACCTGGGGCCCAAACCACTGCAGGTGAACTGTGTGAGGTGAAGGCAGACGAGAGTGAAGCCAACTCTGGCTGTCCCCTGCAGGCCTGCCTTAGTCCCCTGTGGCTCTAGGCCAGCTTGGCATGTGCCTAGCATATCTAGAGCTCTGGCTTGGAGGACAGGTGCATGGAACCCGCCTGTCCTTTCTGGCTGTGGGCCGATGGGTTTCCAGGTAGGGCCTGTGAGCAGGAAGGAAGGGAGGGGCCTTTCCAGCACAGAGGCCTGCATCGCAGAAGAGCCCAGGGAGTGGCTTTTATGGGCACTGTTAGCAGATGTCCTCTTCTGAGGCACTTTGTTGTGCATCCACACCCACATGTGGGTCCTTACCTTTCCTCGGGGGTGTGAACAACCCCTTGCGTGTAGTTGGTCGTCTGTCAGGTAACTAGTACCTGGATTTACAGGGCAGGGTCAGATGACTAGGGCCTCCCCGAAAACATGAGGTAGCATCAGGATTGCCAGAACTAGGGTCCTTCCCATGAATACACGGCCCCTCGAAGGACAAGGCGGTAAGTTCCAAACCCTTCACACATTCTAGTCCACATGGTGTTCTTTTCTCCTCTTTCCTTCATGTAAGGACCTTTGCTGGCATAAGTCTAGAGGCCTGAGAGTCTGAGAACTGTGTGTAAGGATATTAGTGCACCCGTCTCGTTCCTCAGACGTGCTTCCCCTTTTTGGGACTCCCTTCAGCTCGCCTAGTACCACGAGGATGTTCCTGATTGTGACCCGAAAGTGGAATTACAGATTGTCTGATGGTAGAATGGTGTACTGAGTGCCCCCAGCATTCACGCCAGGAAAGGAAGGAGCCCCACGTGTCCTTTCAGCGGCTGGCCCGACTGCCGTGTTAGGGAGAGCTGCTGGGGCTCGGGCCGGGGGTGAGGAACTAAGGGGCAGAGGCTGTGGGAACGGAGAGCAAGAGGGGGTCCCAGAAGGAGAGGGAAGACGGCTCAGTCCCTAGCTGGGAGAGAAGCTTCAGGTGGGGCTCTGGATTTGGGCTTTGCTGGGGGTGGCCTTCCTGACCTGGGGGCATTGGCAGGGGACCGGGCTTTGGAGCACCTGTGGTTGACAGTCAGCTTTGGACATGTCCGGGTGGGTTAACATGTGTCTGTCACTAAAGTGGCCTACGTTAGAGAAGAATTTCAGGTGTGATCAGTACAAAGGTGGTATAAGCACTTGGGGTGAACATGGATGGGGTGGAAGCACCCACAAACCTGAAGCAGAGATGGGGGTGTGAGAAGCAGCAGCCGGAGGAGGGGAGCAGAGGAGGGAAGCCAGGAGAAAGGGGGATTTGTGAAGGAGCCCTGGCAGGGTTCATGAGAGGAAGGCTGAAAGGGCCCTGTGCGATGAGCGGCCTATGGGTCAAGGTGGGGAGGGGGCCACACTCCACTCTGCAGAACAGAGCTTGTTTACTTGTACGTAAATACATCACGATGTGCATCCCCCATTATATTACCCAGAGGAGTCTCACTGCCCTAAAATCTCTTCTCCTATCCCCCTCCCTCCCCCAGCCCCCGACACCACTGACCCTTCCCATCTCCACACGTCTGTCTTTTCCAGAGCAGCACACACTGGGACTCATACGGCCTTTCCAGATTGGCCTCTTACTCGGTCATGTGCCTGGAAGGCTCCCTCCATGTCTTTTCATGGCTTGATGGCTCGTTTGTCCTTAGAGCTAACTTCCTGGTCTAGATGGACCACATCTGTGCACCCATGCTGCTACCAGCGCTCAGATTTTCAAATGCATTTCATGCTGAGTCAGATTTCACTTTTACCTATGTTTTAAGAAACGCTTCATGCAGTGGTGCCTGGGTGGCTCAGCTGGTTGAGCGTCTGCCTTCAGCTCAGGTCATGATCTCAGGGTCCTGGGATCGAGTCCCACATCGGGCTCCCTGCTCAGCGGGGAGCCTGTTTCTCCCTCTGCCTCTCTCCTCCTGCTTGTGCTCTCCCTCTACTCACTCTCTCTCAAATGAATAAATAAAGAAATAAAAAAAAGAAATACTTCAGAGTAAGGACAGAATCATTTTTACTCACCTGAGTGTCATTAATGAACAGAGATCAATTCTTTTGATGTATTGGTTTATCAAATTTGCCTTCTAGGTTTTGAGTTGTTAGATCCTACACAGATTTTTTTTTTTTAATGCACAGGACCTTATGCCTGAAATGAAGATGTACTGGCCTGATGTGATCCATCCACTCAATCACAGCCATTTCTGGTGAGTGCAGCAGCGTGACAGCTTCAAGGGGCACCCAGCTGGACTGGGGGATGAGGACGGACCACAGGGCCTCCCTTCTGAGGTGTGGAAGTATGAACCATTTTTTATTTGGGATGCCATTTTCAGGGCCTTTCTCCAATAGATAAAAAAAATGTGGACGAGGGGTGCTTGGGTGCCCCAGTCAGTTAGCATCTGACTCTTGATCTCGGCTCAGGTGTTGATCTTAGGGTTGTGAGTTCGAGCCCTGCCTTGGGCTCCGTGCTGAGCATGGAGCCTACTTAAAAAAAATAAAATGTGAGCAAGTGGAATTTATAGACTTGCTCTTTTTTTTTTTTAAGATTTTATTTATTTATTCATGAGAGATAACAGAGAGAGGCAGAGACACAGGCAGAGGGAGAAGCAGGCTTCCTGTGAGGAGCATGATGTGGGACTTGATCCCAGGACCCTGGGATCACGCCCTAAGCCGAAGGCGGATGCCCAATCGCTGAGCCACCCAGGCATCCCTAGACTTGCTCTTAATCCACTATTTCATTCATCACTTTGTTTTAGACTCTCCTCTCCTGAGTTTTCACTAAGCCAAATGCATGCGTATCTAAGGGGCTCCAACACTGGCAGGAGAGAAGGTTTTTTAAAGACTTTGTGCTCTTGCCCCGACATACATCAAGAAAAACGAAGAGGCGCTTCAGAACACCACCGTCTTGTGCTCTGACTTAGGACAGGGTGAGGTCCCACCCGCAGCTTAGTCGGCAGCCTGTTCCACAACATCTTTAGGTGTAGCAGGAACTGAGCCAAGGAGAGAAATGCTGTATTTGATTCAAAGTAGCTTTTTACATCATTGCTTATGAAGAAGGTAAAAACTCCTTTTATTTACATTATATGAACCGAAAAGAATTATCCATGCCTCACGCCAACGCGGCAGTTTATGATTCACATTGCAGTTATTCAGATCTTGTCCAAAATGATTAATCCAATTTGAAAATATCTTTGCATAGAAAATTCAGGAAGAGAACTGAGTTTAGATGGAAGCTTTCTGCGACAATGGAACAGCACTGGTGCCGGTGGTCAAGTCAACATGTCAGTCCAGGCCTGAGGCAGGGACGTGGCTCTGGGGTTCGCGTGCCCTGGGTCTGTTGGTGAGATCATCTCTTTGACAGGAGAACCACTCTGACTTAGGGAGACGAAGGGCCTGGTCCCTGGCACATGTTGCACAGCTGCACCCCAGAGAGTGCTCTAACGATACTTGATGGCCTGAGTTGGAATGGGGGAAGCAGTGGGAAGCCCTCTACGGCACTTCAGTGTGCATAAAAATGATGGATCTGTGCAAAGTGTGCAAAATACAGTTTTCCCACTTGTTACAATGTTCCGTGGTACAATCAATCAGATTGTTTTTGCCGGGTGACTTACAAATAAATCAACAAACATCAAAAGAGAAGGCTGTCTGAACTGGTCCTCGCACATTTAATCCAAATTTTGCGGGTGGAGTGCACATGTGTGTTTGTGCTCTCATAAAGGCAAAATGATACTTTTCAGGTTGGATAGTAAATGGCACATTTGAAAGCTTTTGTGCTGAATGCAGGGGTGAACAACCCACCCTCCATAGCATTTCTGCTCCTCGAGCCCCCGAGTACAGGGGCAGCTGCCGTCACTGCCCACCCCTGCCCTGTATGTGGCGTTTGGGTCATGCTTCACTGGTGCCCAGATTCCCTTTGCTGTGTGCATTTCTGGAAGGTCACGGAGGCACCCCAAGGCTGTCCACCTCGGCTTTGTCGTTGGGGGCCGGATACAGAGGAGGGCTCCTGTCAGAAAGCCGCCCTCTTTCATCCCAAATAGGAATCAAGTACGCAGAGTACACAGTCTTGATACTGCATCATGCTTGAGGTCATTCTCTAAGATTAAATCCAGTCACAAAATTAGGTGTATTGAAAAATACCATGTACACAACCCTCTGCAAAGTAAGATCTTTATTTGTTTGCTGATGCTTGTATGAAAAAGGAGGAGAGTTGGGTGAGGCCCGGTTTGGTGAGCAGCTTCACTGTGAAACGTGTCCCTGGGCCTTCATGTGCCATAGGAGCCCTTAACCTCTCTCATCCCAGAGGGGGACCCCCAGATCTGCTCGTAGGCCCTGCCGGCCACTGAGAGGGCCACTCGATGGTCACTTCTGCTTGGGAACTGATCGTTTCGTGTTAAATGAAAAATGTCCAATTCCAGATGATGTGGGATTAAATGTTGGAAGTACGCTAATGGCACTTTAATAAATAGATCCTGATCTTTAAGTTAAGCTTGACCCAAACATAATAATAATTGACATTTATTGAATATTTCTTATGCACTAGGACCATTTGGGCTGGTGCGAAGATGCTTTGCACAAGGCGCACCCTCCTCCGGCACCATAGACGACAGACTCTGGTGACTCCAGCTGCATGGAAACTAAGGCGTCTGGAACACGGTTCCAGCCTCCTTTAGTGGGAAAGAAACTCCTTTTTCCACTCAGTGAAATCATTAGCTCTGAAAACAGTTGTAGATGAAGAAAGTAGGTGTTCACACACTCTTATCCTTAGGCTGGAGCAGCTTGTCGCTGGGCGCTGGCACTGTGGTGAACTGGACCAGTAGATCTGTGCATGTTTAGATCATATTTTTGTCAGACAGCACCTGACCCCTCAGGAGTGCCAGCACAAATGTAATTTAGCTGAACTTTAGGAAAATTGATCATGGATAAAATGGAGGATACCTGATGTCCCTTCCAGTTTCCTGCACTAATGATGGCTAACGTCCGCCTCAACGATCGTCAGTGATTCTGCAGGCAGCATGCCCTCCGTTGGGGGTGGTTGGGACGGTGGCGCAGGGGAGCGGCAGTGGGTTGTTGGCACCAGCTGTGGAGTCCACAGTGCCATTCGGGTGCAGACTCTGGGACATCCTGGCTGAGTGGCCTCAGCAGGGTGCCTAGCTGGGCCCCCTGCCTCAGTTTCCCCACTTCTAAGCCAGCAGTCTCTTTGCCTTTCAAAAGAATGTGAAAACATTTCATAGTCCGTCTGCAATAAGCTGTGGAGAAGGGCAGCCTGGGTGGCTCAGCGGTTTAGCGCCGCCTTTAGCCCAGGGCATGATCCTGGAGACCTGGGATCAAGTCCCACGTTGGGCTCCCTGCATGGAGCCTGCCTCTCCCTCTGCCTGTGTCTCTGCCTCTTTCTCTGTGTCTCTCATGAATAAATAAAAAAATCTTAAAAAAAAAAGCCATGGGGAATTGTTATCAACAGTCATAGTTTCCTTGAATATGTAGTGCTGTGCGTTGGCAGCATTAGGTTTGTGTGTTCTGTTGGAGTTTTGTCCAGGGGCGGGTGAGGACACAGTCGTGCTGGGTAGAGGCTGAGATGGGGAGTGGTTCTGAGGCGTTTCTCCAGAGGTAGTGCTGCTGCCTCTTCTCTGCTGGCTGCTTAGGAAGGACCGTTGGACGTCCCTGTGAAGCTCCTGGAGTGTGAAGCGGTAGCCTCCTGCAGAGCACCCAGTGCCATGTGATGGGTGGGTGCCTGGGTGGCAGTGCTCAGTATTTACTCAGCTGTGACTTGTGGTGACATGCAGAAGTGAGTTGTCTCGGGCAGCCCAGGTGCCTCAGTGGTTTAGTGCCACCTTCAGCCCAAGGCGTGATCCTGGAGACCGGGGATCAAGTCCCACGTTGGGCTCCCTGCATGGAGCCTGCTTCTCCCTCTGCCTGTGTTTCTGCCTCCCTCTCTCTCTCTCTCTCTCTCTCTCTCTCTCTCTGTGTGTGTCTCTCATGAATAAATAAATAAAATCTTAAAAAAAAAAAAAGAAGTGAGTCGTCCCTGATTGGCAGCAGAAAGCCTACAGGGAGGCAGGGTGCTCTCTGGGGATTGTACTGAGTCCACCAGGGCCTCATTCCTGCGCAGGGGATGCACAAATTGTGCCTGTTGCACCTAAGAGATCTTACCCTCTTTCTTGGTAAAAAAAACAACATGCCTGCGAATATCCCTTCCTAGGTGTGAACTTTCCATTGTGAATTTGTTTCATGACTTCTAACTAGAGATTGTTTATTAAAATTCTCTCACAGGAAGCACGAGTGGGAGAAGCACGGCACCTGTGCTGCCCAGCTAGATGCCCTCAACTCCCAGAAGAAATACTTTGGTGGAAGCCTGGACCTGTACCGGGACCTTGACCTTAACAGGTAAGGGACCCTCTGGGGCCTGGTCCTCACGGCAGCTCTGCCTACCGCACCCCTGCTCTCTGGCCATACTGCCTCATGTCTGTCTGTGGACCTTGGGGACCTGGCCAGCCAAACAGTCCTGAGGAAGCCCAACATCTAGCCAACCTTTCAAATCAGTCTGGGCTGTGGCCAGCTGGAGCAGCCTCAGAGACGTGGGTCTCCTCTCTGGTCTCTGACATCATTGGACGGTATGTTGGCCTGAGGACACAGGACTGACCAGGGCCTGTGCCTCTCGACCATGATTTCTGATGAAAGTACCTTGAGTTAACACGAGGTTTTGTAAAAACTGCACGTCCCTGCGTGTTTGCATCTCTGCTCCAGTGCTTCTGGGACAAGTAGGAGGGGGTGTTGGGCAAGGGTCCCCAGAGCCAGAAATCACCCAGGCCCGTGGAATCCTGCCACTGCCTGTCCCTCGCCTCAGCTCTGGACAAAAGGGGAACCTGTTAAGGCTCACGAGCCACCGAACTTGTAAACACCAACTCTGGATGGTCATGCTGGGGGCCGATGTGTTCTCCAGGGCCTGGCCCATCACCCGGGACTGGGGGCCAGGCTGGCCATCCACTGAGGATTTCTGGTGACCAGCTGTGTGAGGAATTCTTGCTTTTCCACATCCAAGTGGTCGTATAGTAAACTTGTGACCTTGTTTTAAAGACCAGGACAGAAAAAAAAAAAAAAGAAAAAAAATAAAGACCAGGACAGGAAATGATACCGTTTGCTTTAGACAGAACAGGCCAGCATCCTATCAAGTGCCTTTGCTGTTCCACTGTGGTTAGTTCTGTGAATCACATCTGCCTAGAAGACATGTGCACCCCGTGAGTTCTGTGCACGTGCACTCTGCTCCTGTGGCAGACAGGATCCCTGAGATCTGGGTGGAGGGTGTCCGGTGCCGGGACAGGAGGATAAGCAAGATTACAGGACGTACACCCCGCAAAGGAGGCCTCCAAGCTCGTGGTTTTCAGTGTGCCTCTGATCCTGCGGCTGGCACTGACCAGTTGTGCAACCTGCACAGTTTCTGCATCTTTGGACCTCACTGTTAGGCCGTAAGATGATGGCTGGGTCACAGGAGATTCAGAAGCCACCCTGCTCTTAGATGTGCAGACCCGAGGACCACTGCTTGGGAGGCCACCCCCACAGCCGCACACCCCAGCTCCCGTGTGCCATGTGCTCTGCTCCAGGCTTTTCTCGCAGCCAGAGCAAGACCTTTGGGAATATTTCCTCACCCAGAAGTCTGGGTGATACTGCAGTTCAGACATCCTGGTAGAGAGTTAACTGGGAGAGTTCATGATGTGGTACGGCCTCCGAGCACAGGAGAGGCGCGATGCAGGCAGGCAGGGCAGGATGCACTTGGACTAGGGGCCCTGCAGACAGCAGGTGGCCTTGTGTCTCCCTGACACCTGTGCAGCACCAGGCCCTGCTTGCTCCCCAGGCCCAGTCCTGCTGAATCAGGCGGACAAATGAGAATAAATGGGGACTGCTGAAAGGCTTTATATAAAACATCTAGGTAATTCATCCCTTCGTCCGATGACTTTATTTTTTTTATTCTTATTTTTTAAAGATTTTATTTATTTATTCATGAGAGACACAGAGAGAGGCAGAGACACAGGCAGAGGGAGAAGCAGGCTCCACGCAGGGAGCCCGATGTGGGACTAGATCCGAGGTCCCTGGGATCACACCCTGAGCTAAAGGCAGACGCTTAACCACTGAGCCACCCAGGTGCCCCTCAACAACTGTTTATTAAGTTCTTCCTGTTTAAACTTTTTGAATCTCTGTAGCGTTACATGTGTACTGGCATGTGCAGGATTCCCAGTCCTGGGAGCATCAGGAAGGCCATTGCCATCTCTTATTCATCTTGTGGAAATATGCACTCGGGGCCTGTTGCACGTAATGCACTGCTAGAGAGATAGTGTCTTTTAGACTATATGGGACCGTTATAAAGAAATTATGTTTTTTCCCAGTTCCTCCAAGGAAAATCTAAAATCTCAGTACTCACAAAATTAAGAAGTTAAAACATAAAACCCCTTGTATTTTTATCTATATTATAAACCACTACCACAGGTTATCTTTTTCTCAGGGGGCAGCTTGTCATATTATCATAAACTAGCAGTGTTTTATTTACTTTATCACATGAAAGTAGCAAACCTGAAAAAAATGCAAAAATCTTGAACCAAATCTTGGGTAACCCACAAATAACGGGCCAAGGATTAATGCCAAACTAATCTTGATGCTGTAGAAAATATAGGCTAATTTGGGTTGAATGCCAGGCTTCCCCAAATATATATCTCTCTCTGCCTGACTTCCTTGGTAACCTGACTCGGGCTGCCCAGTAGGAATAGAATGCAAGTCACATATGTAACTTAAAATTTCCTAGTAGCCTCATTACAAAGAGCAAAACAGGGATGCCTGGGTGGCTCAGTAGTTGAGCATCTGCCTTTGACTCGGGGCCTGATCCCAGAGTCCTGGGATTGAGTCCCATGTTGGGCTCCGTGCATGGAGCCTGCTTCTCCCTCTGCCTGTGTCTCTGCCTCTCTCTCTGTCTCTCATGAATAAATAAAATCTTTAAAAAATAAATAAATAAAATAAAAGAGCAAAACGGAACCAATGAAATTGATGTTATATTATTTAATCCAAAACATTATTATTGCAACTTGAAATAATTATGTAAAAATTTGCAAAGTTTTGCATTTCCAGAGCCAGAGCCTTTGAAATCTGGTATTTACCCCACGCAGACGTTGTAAGGGCAGGCAGCGGGCACATTTATTTCTAGGGCTTTGACGACCCTTGCCCACCATCCACTTCCTGTGCCAGGAGCACTGCAGCGTAGATCCAGACACTTGGTGGTGGTGCAGTCTTTACAAACACTGTCTTATTAACAGTTTATACTGTTGCCAGACAGAAGTCAAGGTCAGATGAGGTGTGCCCTGGTCAGTCTGGTTTTCCCCGGGCACACTCATATGATAATGTCCATATCCGGAGAGGCAGCCCAGGACTCTGTGTCTGCTCCTAGGAGTCAGAGCCCGGATAATCCAGAGAGGCGTGATGGGGGCTGGAATGTTGTTTTGGGGCTGTTAATCTGAGAATTGTTTATATTGTGCTCCATAATTTAACAAGTAAGTTAGTCATATGGTGTTTTGACGGGATAGCTGGTCAAAACCATGTGCTTTAGGAAATGATTCAAGTCTGTGGGTGTTGAATATATTTAAAGATTTGACCAAGCATGGTTTTCTAGGATAAGCCTGCATCCAAAGTCAGTTACTAACTCTTTTGAAGCAGGCGTGCTGAATAGGTGGTAACGTGTGTGCCAACTCAGCGACTACTAGCCATCTGGCCACTGTTGAGGGCCTGGGTGCTGGAAAGAGAACCAGATCAGTAGTAGGGTGTGCATTCTGGTCAGGGATAGTCGGGGAAGCCCGAGCACCATTTATCTGTTGTCCTTGCTCACAGACTTATTGCCCAAAGTAATAGAAAACAAGTGCTTTCTTTTAAGTGTGTCTTACTTTTTTTAAATGAAATACAACATTTTAAAAGAATAAGAAAGGGGCAGCCCCAGTGGCACAGCGGTTAAGGCCACCTTCAGCCCAGGGCGTGATCCTGGAGACCTGGGATCGAATCCCACTTTGGGCTCCCTGCACGGAGCCTGCTTCTCCCTCTCTCTCTCTGTCATGAATAAATAAATAAAATCTTTAAAAAAAATAAAGAACAAGGAAGGAAAATGTACCTTGCTATACAGCTAATTTTTTTTCATTTTTAAATTTTAGCATGCTCCAAAAATTGGGAATAAAGCCGTCTATCAACTACTACCAGGTAAGTCTTGCTTTCAGCCTCTCAACCCAACGTGTATCTGCTACCCGGGGACACCCAGCCGTGGTACTGTCCCTTCAGCCTGTGGGCTGGCTACACACGGGTTTTGAAGTGACTCAAACAAGCCCCATTCCTATTTGGCTGTTATGTTTCCAAATAGCTTTTATTTAAATTTTGTTCTCTGTTTTGTGCCTATTGAGTGTGAACTGACAGCTGTATAAACTGATGATTTGGAAGCCCAGATTCATGGTCCCTTGGTGAGAAATGTGTTCCAGTCTCGTCCAGAGCAGGGGAGCCAGCAGGAGGGCAGTTTGAAAATCATAGTCAGTTTTATAGTATTTTGCTTGAGGAAGAGCATAAGGTGTGTTTTTATTTTCATGATCAAACTATAGAAATCCAGACAGACCCGATCTTACTCTCCGGTAATCCACCCAGGGCAGCCTGTTTTCATAAACGTAGTCTTCCTGGCTCAGGGCCAGGCCGGTTCTTTTACTGTCCCCTGTGGTCACCGTCCCCAGCCAGGTGTCCCACAGGTGAGAGACCCTCGGAGCCTGGAGTACTTCCTCTGGCCCTTTACAGAGCGAGCCTTCTGACTCCTGCCTTAGAGAACCCTATGTTCTCTAGTTCCTCTGATTTAATCTCCAGGCATTAAACAAGGAGTTAAAGTTCCTGATTTTAGCAGCCCCTTGCTTCCAGTGTCCTGGCTGCACACCGAACCATCACACAGGTCTCTTGACTGTGAAGTCAGTCGGCATTTTTGTTGCACTCTGTGTGTCCAGACTCCACTGTGCAGCTGGTTTCTGGTTAATCTGGTTTCCTTTCTGCAGTGAAACTGAGACTGAGAGGGGACGGTGGTCCTGGGGAGACAAGCTCTCTCAGCTCCCTCATGACAGGGGGGTTTGCAGGGCCCCCTCCGTCCTTGGGGTCCATGTTCAAGGACATAGGGGGCCTGTGTTTCCATCTTTACCCAGGATGTGCTTATTTGAGAACTGATTTCCGTTAGAGTAAAGCACCAAGGACCAGTGTTTTGGGCTTCCTGTCCGTGCTGCAAGCACTCTGTTAGGTTCAGATGCAGCAAGATGTGAGCTCAGACGGAAGTCCTGGCCTCTGAAAGTTGCTCTGACTTACTGGAAGGAGATGCTCTGCTTTTGTGCACAGTGCCCAGGCTCTGGGTTTGAATGGAAGAGCAGAGTGGGGGAACGGACACCGTGTGGAGCACGTGTGGGAGCCACTGTGGTCTGAGGGTAGAGCCCAAGCAGGTGACAGCCTCTCCTCGGGCTGCCTCTGAGCCTCGTCTGCGAGCCCCAAGTGCCCGGAGGACTGTGCCCCATTGTCAGCTGTGCGTGTTTGTGAGTGTGTAAGCTGGAGTTTCACATATGCATGGGGCAGAGCCCTTAGCCCGCCTCCTTCCAAGTGTTTCTAATGCATCTTATTTAATTTCAGGTTTCAGATATTAAAGATGCCCTTGCTGGCATATACGGAGTCATACCTAAAATCCAGTGTCTTCCACCACAACAGGTCAGATGTGTAATGCTTTGTTTTGTTGCTCTTTCTGTCTTTATCAAGAAGACATATTCAGCTTTTTGACATCTGTGTGCTCACTATAGAGTTCCCTGGGGCAGAGACGTGCGTCTGTGCGTGGGTGTGTGTGCCTGAAAATCACAGGTGGTTAAACACTGATTCAGAGGAGACATGCACTCCGATGTTTATTCCAGCATTATTTACCGTAGCCAAATTATGGAAGCAGCCTAAGTGTCCATCAACAGATGAATGGATAAAGACAGTGTGGTATAAATACAGAATGAAATATTACTCAGCCACAAAAAAGAATGAAATCTTGCCATTTGCAATGACATGGGCACATCTAGAGAGTATGAGGCTGAGGGAAGAAAGGCAGAGAAAGACAAATACTGTGGGATCTCACTCATATGTGGAATTTAAGAAACAAAGCAAATGAGCAAAGGGAAAATAGAACAAACCAGGAAACAGACTCTTAACTCGAGAGAACAAACTGATGGTTACAGAGAGGAGGTAGATGGGAGATGGGGGAAATAGGGGGTGGGGATAAAGGAAGGCACTTGTGATGAGCACCAGGTGATGATTGGAAGTGATGAATCACTGTATCATACACCTGACACTACTATGATGTTGCATGGTAATTATACTGGAATTCAAAAAAATTATATAGAGATGCATACAGATTGCCCTTTGATGCTGTGTTCGATAGGGTTTGTTTTTTTGAGACTTTTCCCCAAAAGGAACACACCTGTTCTGGAAGGAAGGTGGAGCAGGAGCAGGGAGGCGGGTCTATGAAACATTTCTGGGTTAGAAATCTTCTCAGGGTTTATTTATACTGTTAGGCTTAGCAATTGTAGTTGTAGGTGTTTGTCTAGTTTATGGGTTTATGGGTGGTTTATCTGTGGTTTCTTTTGTCAGCTGTGATAAAGACTTAAAATCTTTCAGTAGTAGGGTACTTTTGCCCCATCTATTCTTTGAAATCACTTCTCCCGAGGCCGTGCTGCATATGCCGTGTGCACAGAGGTGCACATTTCTAAGCTTCGGGCGGTGTCCCTTCACACAGGGCTGCCAGGTGGGCCCAGGGACATCTGGGTGGTGACCGAGGTGGCGAGTCCTGCGGCCCCCTGCCAGTCACCCGGGTCCCTGGCCCCAGGCACTGCTGGAGAAAGCAGCTTGTGGCCAGCACCTGGAGGCCCGGGCCTGCAGTCACCCTCTTGTCTCTTCAGGTTCTGAGACTTGTGACCGTATGACAGATGATCCTCCAGGGTGCAAGTTCTCAAACGTCTCTCATTCCCAATGTTTAGGGTGAGGAGGTACAGACGATCGGGCAGATAGAGCTGTGCTTCACCAAGGAGCTGCGGCTGCGCAACTGCACGGAGCCCGGGGAGCCTGGCGGGCCTGGGGGGCCGGCGCCCCGCAGGCCCAGAACGGGGGTGTCGGGGGACACCGGGCTGGAGGTGTGCGAGGATGGCCCCGCCTTCTACCCCCCGCCGCCGGGGGCCGTGCCCTGATGCCCAACGCCCTGGGGATGAGGAATCGCTGCTGGTCAGAAAGCAGCTGCCAAGTGGAACGTTCTGTTTACGACTGTAAAGGAGGCTGTTCTGTTGTCTTCCATTTCCCTTCACACCCGCGAGCTGACGTCGTGGTTCCTGTGAATCTGGGTTGCATGTGGGTACGTTGGAAGAAAGGCGATCTCCCACGCCTTGGTAGATGCTTTGTGGTTGGAATAAAGGACGCAGATTTGCTTTTCTTTCCCTTTATTAAGCTCTCCGGCGTCTTAGACATGGCAGGCAGCCTGGGAGCTGGGATTCAGGGCAGCTCTGGCCTATGCCTCCGAGTGGGCAGCCTTCCTGCCATGGGGGTCGCATAGGGGTCGCGTGAGGGCCCGTCCTCCAGCCGGGATCAGGCCGGCACCAGGCGGGCGCCTCCACCTCCTACCTCCGCTGGACACGTCTTGTTCCTGGAGGCCAGAAGTGAGAGAACACGTTCACCCGCATCCCCTCGGTGGCCTGGCACGAGCATGGCTCCTGAGTGCCTGGTGCTGGCAGCCGAGATGCTCTGAGGGGCAGCGGGGGATATCTGCGGGTCCTGGCCCGGCCACAAGCATCCCCACCCAGCCAGGTGCTACTAAAGATCTGCTCAGACTGTTTCGGGTCCTTTCTGTGAGGAGGGGCCCCAGCCACCATGTGGGGCCACTGAGAAGTTCGTAATGAGGACAGTGCAGCCACTGGATGACCTGGCTCCTCTTGGGGGGTCAGAGCCGCCCCCCCACTCCGAGCCAGGCCCTCCACCTGCTGGGCTGCAGCTTCGCCCATAGGATGAGGACAGCGGATGGCCTGTGCGATGGACTGCCCCCTCCACGAAGCCCCCTCTTAACACTATTGCTCCTGGTCTTTGTCCTCCTCAAAGGCATTTGGTGGCAGGGGTTAAAGTTAAAGTAGGACCCATCTGTGTGTCTTACCAGGTTGATGCTGTCCACGTTCTTTTTTTGATCAAACACTTGAGAATGTGCCGGACATCTTAGTAAGCACTTCAGAACATTCACTGACCTGATCCCAAGAACAACCACATGTCCAAAATAACCCTATCTTTAACCAAAAAACCTATGGAATTGGATGGCTATGAAAGGTCACGCTGTTCGGGATCACTGATGTTTCCTTTCATGTCTTAGGGTCAATGTCAGCGATGAGGTAGGTGTGATTGATTCCAGTAGCACAACGATTTTGTAAAAGGTACTGGGTTTCTCCTCAGAGCAAGTCCTAATGCTCCTTCCCCGCAGGGTGAGTCTGTAAGGCTGTGCGTGTTCCCGGGGCTGCCCTGATAAAGCACCACAATCTGATTGAGGCCAGACCTCTCTCCTCTCATGGGGAGAACCTTGTCCCTCCAGCTCCTAGCAGCCCCAGGAGGTTTCCTTTCTGCGTCTGTGTCTCCCTTCCTCTGGGTCCTCCCAGAATGCGCCTGTCTGCATGTCAGATTTCCCTCTTCTTTCGCTTAGAAGGACACCGGTCATATTGCTCATTTTAACATGATTACATCTGCCAAGACCTGTTCCCAAATAAGGCCCTATTCTCGGGTCCTGGGGATTAGAACCCACAGCACCTACCAACAGACCAAAGCGGCCTGACCGCTGGTCCTTGTGTCCTGTACGGGAGGGCCTGGCAATGTGATGCCAGCAGCGCAAGGAGGAAACCACTGGCAAATTCTCCTCCTACAATAAATGAGGAACGTGGGAATTGCTGGAGAGATCTCTGAAGGATCTTAACACGCTCAGAACCCACACGGTAAAGGTGTCTCACTTGACTGGGACTGAAGAGATTTTTTTTTTTAAGATTTTATTTATTTATTCATGAGAGACGCAGAGAGAGAGAGGCAGAGACACAGGCAGAGGGAGAAGCAGGCTCCATGCAGGGAGCCCGAAGTGGGACTCAATCCCGGGACTCCAGGATCACACCCTGGGATGAAGGCGGCGCTAAACCACTGGGCCACTGGTGGTTTAAAAATCCCTGAAGGGGGATCCCTGGGTGGCCCAGCGGTTTGGCGCCTGCCTTTGGCCCAGGGCGGGATCCTGGAGACTCCGGATCGAATCCCACGTCGGGCTCCCGGTGCATGGAGCCTGCTTCTCCCTCTGCCTGTGTCTCTGCTTCTCTCTCTCTGTGACTATCATAAATAAATAAAAAAAAAAAAATAAAATAAAAAATAAAAATAAAAATCCCTGAAGGGATTTCTAAAACGAAAGTGAGCTTATCTGTTGTCACCTGAGCCTTTCTGGTGGACCCTGAAGCCAACAATGAGAAAACACTGAACGGGCTCTCCGCAGGTCCATCCAGGCTGGGGGTAGTCACAGCCAGTGGGAGCTTGGGGTGAGCGCTGTGTTGGGGGCCAAGACCAGGTCACCCCCCAATAGGGCATTTTGACGTGAAGATTATTTTGAGTTATAAAGGGATCAAAACCCAGGAGATTTGGGGAAAGCTCTTTATCTTCTGCTCAAGGGCCACAAAAAGAATGTAGACAAGGGCCCTGTTCCAGGAAGGGCGCTGTCCCCATAGATTGGGATGTTATGCCATGAGGTAGGGGCGGCCCATAGGGAGGAGGAACCTGGCACCTCTTTGATCAAGTCCTCAGTCACAATGGGCCCATATGGCCCAGCAGACAGTTGTCTACCAAACATTTACTCGTTTTCCCCTTCCTGTGAATTGCATTCCTTTCCTGGAAGTCCCACACCCTGCCCCCCAGCTCCTGAGTTCAGGACGACACACACCCCTCACTTTGCTGGTGTCTGGAGTTTCTAGGTCTGTGGATTCCCCGCACATACACTATTAAATTTGATTTTCTCTTGTGAATCTGTCTCTTGTCAATTTGATTCGAAGGACCTGTGAAGGGGATGGGGAGTCCTGCTTCCAGACAGACAGCTGACAGATACATAAATGAACTACTAGGAGATGGTGAAGGGCACAAACAGCCAGACCCTGGGCACAGTGGGGTAGAGGGGGTTTGCTAAGACATGTCCCAGCGGATCATTCCGGATCGATTTCTCTTGGTACACCGTGGGTCCTTTAAGTAATGTAGATTAGCATCTTTTATCTCTGGAATGTCTTCAAGGGTTATAATTTTATTTTTAAATTTTTATTTTTATTTTTATTTTTTTGAGGGAGAGAGAGATGGAGAGGGTGTGTGAACGGGGGAGGGGCCGGGGGAGACTGAGAATCTCAAGCAGACTCCATGTCCAGTGAGGAGCTGGACTCAGGGCTGGATCTCGGGAATCAGGACCGAAGGTGGAATCAAGAGTCAGACACCCGACTGACCGAGCCGCCCCATCAAGGGTTATAATTTTAAAGGTTAGTTTTGTTTTGTTACATTGTTTTAATTTTCTTTTTCAAGGCCATTTATATACTGTAAAGTCTTAAGCTTCCTTGTAACTTATAGCCCACTTGCTGTGGTTTGGAGAGGTGTTGGGATCTGGAGCCGATGGCCAAGTAAGAATTCATGAAGCATCTTGGGTGCAAAAAGGTGGTTTCATGAAAGCCTGGGGCCAGGACCCAGAGGGCAGAAGGAGCTGCTGCCCCAGGGTTGTGAGGTGTAAGTGATTGTAGACTTTGGGGTTGGGGGAAGTAAAGACCAACTTTGATTTCCAAGAGGACTTAGATGTGCTGAAGCAGACCCTCAGGCTATTGTCGGGCTGAGGTGGTTCTCTCTCTAGCAAGGCAGGAATGGGAAGACAGTTGGGAGCTTCCAGAGCTTCCAAAGCTTCCCGGAGGAACTATATGCTCTCCACCTCAAGTATCTGCCATTGCGCTGTCAGTGTTGAGCACATTTAATTGTATCTCCATTTCCTTCCGCCACTGTTCCCCACATCACACTGACACTACTTGAGACAGGCAGGTGGGCCTTCTGCTGAGGGCCAACAGCGATCTTAGCCTGACCCCCAGGACCCTGCGAGTCGGCTTTAACATATGACAGTCCCTCTGGAAACTTCCTTTTTCTCTACACCCCTGCCCCTTCAGACACATGTTGGTGATGATCCCCCAAGCATATCGCCCACTGAAAGGCATCTGAAGGGTCTCCTGACTAAGGCTTTAGTAGACTAGTAAATGACCCCTCGAGGTCCTGGAAACCTTCCAGATTCCTTAGAGGCTCTCCCAACCCCCCTACCTACCGGAAAGTATGTATCAGCCACTCCTCCCCGACCAGCAAGTGCTTTCTGCCCAGGGTCAGGCCCCGGGCTTTCATAAAACCACCCTCTATGCACTGAAGGGGTCTCAAGAATTCTTCCCAAACCCCAACATTTCCCATCAGTAACCACTAGAGTGAGAACACAGACCTTCCCAGGTACCAAAATCAATTATTCACAAAACAACACACCCAATGAGGAAACATGAAGTGTAACAGAACACAGAGTAACTGCCATATAATATAAATGACAGAGTGGAGACCAAACACAGCAGACACGCGAATGCACATCTCTTACCCACTGAAAAAAACTTTTTCAAATGGTCCAAAAGCAAAACCAAACTCCCTGGTATAAAAGAGACACACCCAAAATGCAGTGCTCTAAAAGGCAGCCAGCAGAGAGGGACAGAGACTGACCGGGCAGATAGAGACGGAAGGACAGCAGGTGTTGCCGACGCAGAGAAATTTGTCTCCCCAGAGCATTCCAGGGGCTGCAGAAGGGTACTTGGTAATGTATAAAAATAAACACGATGCTAAGAACTGGTTTCCTGAGACAAAGATGCTAAATGATTGCTTTCCTCGGACAGATCTTAAAGTGGCCGTGTCAGGAGTTTGATCAAAAGCAGCACCATCATGTTGTCTACTCCGCATGGGAGAGGACAGGGCCCTGCTCTGGGGTCCAGGCTCAGCATCCTAGGAGAGATGTGCACACCGACCCCCCTCCCCACTTCTGCACCCCCTGCCCCCCACCCCCATTTCCTGTTCATCTGTGGCTTCTCTTCTACATGGGACCATTTGCATCCCCTGTCTGAAGAAGCAAGAGGGGGAGACAGAAACAGGGATTTGATCTGTGTCTAGACTGGCTGATGTCCCTCCTCACCTTGGCCGCCTCCAGCAGGTCCTCACTCAATAAAGAAACTATAGCCCAGAGTCATTTAAAAGAATGCTATTGTTTCTTTGAGCCGTTCTGCAAATACATGGCTCAAGGCTAGGGTTTCAACCTCATTACGTCCAGGCTAGTCAGTGAATTTAAACAAACTTCACCTTTGAATTGCATTTTATAGCCCAGGGGGCTGGA